TGTGTGTGTGTGTGTGTGTGTGTGTGTGTGTGTGTGTGTGTGTGTGTGTGTAGGTTCTGACCGTCGGAGGAAGCAGCGACCACATCGACGTGTTCACCAACCTGTCGTACAGAGCGTTCTCGCTCAGCTTCTGAACTCACGCACACTTTTATTGTGAAGATAATAAAGTTTTTGTTGTTTCATTCAGTGTTTTTCTTCTTCTCGACGATCAGCGCCACCTGCTGTTCATTAGTTGACACAATTTGTTTGGATGAAACTCATCAAACTTAACTGAAGAAAATATTGACTTAAGTTAATTTACAGAATTAAAGATGAACGTTGAAGGTTAAATAAATGTTCCTCATTAAATCAACACTGTTGTTAAGAACTGATCTCAGTTCAGCTTCACTCTTCAGCTGATGGAGACTCAGTCACTTGTTCTCAGGAGATGAACCCACTCAGCAGAGAGAGAGAACAGACTCAGGGAGCGAAGGAGGAAACGTTCTCTGGTTCTCAGAAACGAGCGGAGTGAGCGTTAGCAGCAGCTCGACTCATCAGAGACGAGTTTAACATGAAGCTGCTTTCTTCTGTTTGTTCTAGAGGAGACGTCCAATCTACCCAGAAGTCTACAGCTCCCATCATCCCTCAGTGCTGCAACAGAACGCTTAGTTACTGTTCTGACTGAGACGCCCCCTGGTGGTCGACACTGAATCCAATAAATTAAAACTGACTCCAGGATTTAAAACAAAACTTTTTATTCATAAAACAAAACTACTTTTATATTTTCACTTCGAAAACCAAAGTGAACAAACGTTAGTTTTCCTCTGATACAAAACTCAAACTTCACAAACGTTGAGGATAAATGATGTTGATCCGTTTCCCTTTGATTCCGCGTGAAGCTTCAGTCGTGTTTTATGAACGAGCGAGAAAGGTGGTTTGACACGACGGGCGAGGAGTCCCACAGACTGTTTCCTGAAGCTTCTTTCAGTCGCTCACACGATGTTTGGTCGGGTTCTGAAGACCTGAAGGATCCAGAAGTTCTGACTGTGGGCGGGGCCTCAGGCTGCAGACAGACAGGCCTGGCGGACGCTCTGAGCCCACGTGTGGAGCAGCTCCGTCACCGAGTGCTTGTCGGGCAGCTGTAGCAGTTTGGACGTCATGTTCCTGTGAACCGTCTGCAGGAAGCTGTTCACACCTGAGACACATCACCACAACCTTTCAAAATAAAATTCATTTTGTGTACATGTTCTTATTTCTGATCAATAAATAGTTTT